AACTTTTCATCATCGATCCAGTAATATCTTGTTTTTTATTCATTATTCATTCTCCTTTTATCCTAGTAGTCCTGTCCTCCTTCCTCCATCTTGAATAGTTCCTGTGATTTAATGGCCGATCACCTCAATTTTCTTATTTTATCCTCCTTCTTTTCACAGGACATCTCCCTCCTCTCCTCCTTCTTCGGGTAAAAAAAAATAACTACTCTCATCCTCCTCATCCTTTTTTCCTCCTCCACCCCCACGCCCCACCCCTCATCCCTCTACTGTAGCGGTCCTCTTCCTAACCCCCTGCCTCCTTCCTCCTTCCTTCCAGACTGCTTCACAGACGCCGAGGCCGAGAGGTGCAAGAATTCCTCCCTCGTCTACTACAACCAGACCTGCCTCAGCGTCGGGGACTACTGCGGTCTGGCTGGCTTGGGGGGGTTCAACGAGACCCACTGCCACGACCCCGCCAACGGGTCTGCTTGGGTCAGACCCGTCGAGACCGTCCTCGCGAGGATCTCGGCCAGCGAGGATTATTTCAAGTAAGGGAAGCTTCTTCTCTCTCACATGTAAAGACTGATTTGAAGGTTTTAATGCGTTTTTTTTTTTTTTTAGTAGTATTGTGATGATATAGAGCGGCTTTTAGAGAATAGAAATATGTTTCATTCATATCGGAAAAAAGACAATTACAGTAGTAAGGATATCGGTTCAATCTGTATTAAAAACAGGAATAGCTTGTGCGACGAATCGAAACCTACTTGCAACCTCACACGAAGACAGGAAAATGAAACCCCCATATAAAAAATAGGGAAAACTAAGCCTCCCCCCCCCCCCACTGCAGGAACCGCATGCTGGGCGTTACGGGGCGCTCCTGGGACGACATGGGCGGCCTCAGATGGGAGCTGGTGGGCTGCCTGGCGCTGGCGTGGGTGATCGTGGGCGCGTGCCTGGCCAAGGGCATCAAGTCGTCCGGGAAAGTCGTCTACTTCACCGCCCTCTTCCCCTACGTCATCCTCGCCATCCTCTTCGTCAGGGGTAAAGCGAGGGGCTCTGGGGCTGCAGATGCCTTCTGTCCGTATTTGCGTTTTCCCCTATTCGTATTCATGTTAACAAATGTAAAAAAGGTATGAAAGAGAATCAATATCTTCACAATACAAGAGATGTATTTGACCGGCTGTATTTCATGTCTTTCTGACGAAGATATAACCGAAACCAGTTAAATACATCTCTTGTTTTGTGAAGATATTCATTATCATTCATACCTTTTCTACATTCGTTATCTTTCTATGAACTGATTTCTTCATCCATGATTGTTTGTTTTTTCCAATTTTCTCTATATTTATTGATTTTCTTACATATGGATAAGGGTGCATTTACTTTCCTTTACTTTACTTTTTCTTGCTTTCCCCTTTAGGCCGGTTTCACACCAAAGTGGCACGTCACACGTGGCATACCAGATGGCACGCCATTTGAGAATGGACATCCGGACTTTTCACATATCTCATGTGCAATTTTTATTGGAGCTTTCACATACATATTTATTATTAACCAAAATTATATAAGAAAGTTAAATTCCTAAAAAGCAAAACTTCAGGAAGTATGACATACATAGAGTAGTTTTGAAGCGTGTAGATGTACATCGCCAGACCCATTTGACAACTGCCGCAGTCGCCTAGTGAGCGAGACGGGATGAGGAAGGAATCACGCACGGCCATGCCTCTTCCAAGCATTGAGCCATTAAATAACATTTAACAAGCTGTGGAGAAATATAAATGTTTGTATGATATATCATCTCAGTATAATAACAATACTCTGCATGAGTAAACGAGGGGAATTTTTGCTTTATTTCTTGTAATTATAACCATATCAAGTAAATTATACAAATAATTATGTATTTAGCAATATACACAATACACTCGCATAGGCTAAACGTGATGTTACTAGCTCTGCTCCTCCTTTTTAATCTGGTCATTAAGTGCGATATATTATAAATATTTTTTTTCAGTGTAATTCCTTTGAAAATGGTTCAGTAACAACAAGGGTTAAAAAATCGGAAAAAAATATGATATCTGCAATGAATAAAGACTGGGCTTGGAAGTTGCCCAATAATATTTTCATCAAGACGGATTGGGGGTATTTGTGTACCTTTTTCAGTGCTTTGCTTCGAATGTTGTACCAGAGTTACCTCATGCTCCAATCCATTCAAATCGGACGTCGTGGGAGAATGATAACAAACACAGAGGTGCCGCTTCTGCTGTCTACCCAGAACCGGTGTATCAGGTCGGAGTGCAGGCGAGTCACCTCAAACTAAACCCTCCCACTCCCTGGACACGTCTGCCTTACCTTCTGCCGCAAAGTCCTCCACATTATTCCGCCGAGTGACAATTAAATGATTGTCGCAAGATCCCTTAGTACTTAGGACTACAATAACATCGTCATCCTCCAATGATGCCATCTTATGAACTCAGAGAAAATATTCTGACACGCGTCATGTGTAACACTGGTCTGAAATCAC